GGTAAACGGTGGTAAACTGTTTTGTTTAGGGGGTAAACGGAAATTAAACGGTTGATTGTTTAAACGGTAAAAAATGGTCTAAACGGTATAAACGGAACGGAGATAAACAATATTAAATGGGCTAAACAGTTGTTTAAACGGTTGTTTAGACGAATACGAGGTAAATCTAGTTTAATTTTGTATCGATAAATTTGTATACTTAAGTTTATTATATTTATAAATGTGTATACTTGATATGTTACATGCATAAATATCTATATTTGGTTCTTTTCATATGCATAAATATATATATACATACCAAAATAATTAATTTTTACTCTGATAAATATGTATAAATGCTAGAATACTTGATTTTTTACATGCACATATATAATTATATGTATTTTTTTAAAAAGTACAAACCCGTTTAACTTCGTTTAAACACCGTGTAAACAGCCTAAACGCTAAACGAAGGGCGACCGTGTAAAGACCGTTTATCGTTTAGAAAAACATTGCATCTCATATACTCAGTTTTAGTTCTACTGAGTCTAAAACATTTGGACTCCAAAGTCTCCCGCCATAACTTCAGTTTTTTATTCACTCCTGTCTGGCTTTCATCAACTATCACTACATCGTCCTCGAAAAGCATACACTAAGGGATGTCCCCTTGTATGTCCCTTGTGACCTCATCCATCACTAAGATAAACAGATAAGGGCTCAAAGCTGACCCTTGATATAGTCCTATCCTAATTGGGAAGTCATCCGTGTCTCCATCACTTGTTCAAACAATAGTAACAACATTGTTGTACATGTCCTCAATGAGCTCGACGTACTTCATTGGGACTTTATGTTTGTCTAAAGCCTACCACATAACATTCCTTGGTATTTTATCATAAGCCTTCTCCAAGTCAATAAAAACTATGTGTAGGTCCTTCTTCTCCCTATACCGTTACATAACTTGTCTTATTAAGAAAATAGCTTCCATGGTTGATCTTCTGGGCATAAAACCAAATTGGTTCATAGAGACCCGCGTTATTGCTCTCAAGTGATGCTCGATAACTCTCTCCCATAACTTCATAGTATGGCTTATCAACTTAATTCCCCCCGGTAATTAGTACAACTTTGAATGTCCTCTTTATTCTTGTAGATCGGTACCAATATACTTCTCCTCCACTCGTCAGGCATCTTGTTCGATCGAAAAATATGGTTGAACAGCTTGGTTAGCCATACTATAGCTATGCCATCGAGGCATCTCCACACCTCGATTGGGATACTATCCGGTCCCATCGTCTTACCTCCTTTCATCCTTTTCAACGTCTCTCTGACATCAGATTCTTGATTCTCCACACAAAACGTCTATTGGTGTCATCAAAAGAGTCCTTCAACTGAAAGGTTGTGTCTGTATTCTCATCATTGAATAATTTATCAAAATACTCTTGCCATCGATGTCGGATCTCATCCTCCTTCACCAAGAGATGCTCCCTTTCATCCTTAATGCACTTAACTTGGTTGAAGTCTATTGTCTTTCTCTCACGAACCCTAACTATCCTATAAATATTCTTCTCTCCTTCTTTTTGTACTCAAATGTTGGTAAAGATCCTCGTACGCTCTATCCTTTGCCACACTTATAGCTCGCTTTGTAGTCTTCTTTGCCACCTTATACTTCTCTATGTTGTCCACACTCCCTGTCATGGTACAAACGTCTATAGCATTCTTTCTTCTCCTTAATAGTCCTTTGGACTTCCTCGTTCCACCACCAAGTATCTTTAGCCTTGCCTCCACTTCCTCTGGTTACTCCACACACCTCTAAGGCCACCTTCCGAATGTTGGTTGCCATCTTCTCCCACATGTTGTTTATGTCATCTTCTTTCTTCCAAGAGCCCTCTTTGATAAGCCTTTCCCTAGATACCTCCGATGTCTTCCTTCCAGCTTCCACCACTTTGTTCTTTCAATCTTAGCTTGTTTATCCCTACGAGCACGCACCTGAAAACATCTTCATCTGACTTCATTTGAAAAATATGAATTTATTTGTTCTGCATCCATTAAGAATGGTCGACTTGGTAAACCGTCTTTGTAAATTGATTTCTAGAAATTATCTATTGTCAATAGCGGTTAACAAGGAACTGCCTCTAGAAATCATATTTTCGAAGAAGGTTAGCGTAAGCCATTGCATGTAAAAACAATTTTTTAGTAGTCAATAAGCATTGATGTGTGAATGTGAATAATTAGACTGTTATCACGACAATAAAAAGTGCATAAAAATAATTTCATGCCACAAAAAATTCATTATCTCTTCGTCTGTACTAGTATTTCACATCAGTTCATTTACTACCCATAAAACTTCTATAAATCCTTCACTAAGACTAGCCTAATGCGGAGTAGTGTACTAGCCTTAGTTAAAGTTAACCATAGATAGTACTTTTTTGTGAATAGTAGATACGTCCTCCGTCCAAAAAGAATACAATTCTGGGTTCCAGTGTCACGTGTTAGTATATCAACTTTGATCAATTATAGATAAAAATATAAATATTTATAATATCAAATAAATATTATTGAATTAATTATGAAATGTATTTTCATAATCAATTAATTTAAAGTCATAAATGTGAATACATGAATTACTTTACGTAGCACGTAACCTATAGCTGCATTCTTTCGCGGATGAAGATAGTAGCACTTTTCTTTGGGTATGGTTTTCACCATGCACCATCAGGCAACTAGTATGTTCGTTGCAACGTTTACTAGTAATATAAAAAATAATAAAAAACATAAGAAAGCCTAAGATTGACTGGGCTTTTACTGGCTCTGAGTGTGACCCAATTATTCAATGGAATATTCGTCCCAGCGGGGGGCGCAATCCGTATTTTGCTACACACTCCGTTAACAATTCTTGGTGGCTTGAATTTATCAATCCGGAGAACAGTGTTTTCACTCATAACAAATTAGTTTTAGCCGCTTATCATTTTTAGAAAGGTGAAACGATACTAACTTTAACCAAATATTATAAAGAACACTAATAATGTTTATTATGAGTTATAATATCTCTAGATTAATCAAAATATGTTTTTGTACAAACAAATTTAACGATATATACTTGAACTTGTTTTTTTTTTACTTTTTCTAATGTTAGGTGAGTTCTAGCTTCTTCTTTTTTTGCGACGCCTGAGTTCTAGATTCTTGACACCGTATTTATTCTTGATTTTTTTTCTCCATTCAGCTAAATCTCAACCGTACATGCTTATGAAGCAACATTGACGGCGTGTTTGATTTAGGAACTAAAGTTCGGATATTAATTAGGAGGACTAAACATGAGTTAATTATAAAATTAATTGTGGCTAAATCGCGTGATGAATTTATTAAACCTAATTAATCCATGATTATCGTATGTTTACTTACCACATTCGCTAATCATAAACTAATTAGATTTAATAGATTCGTATCGTGAATTAGTCTTCATTTATGTAGTTAGTCTATATTTAACACTCCTATTTATTATCAAATATCTTGAACTAAACAGTCACGCGGAACCAAACACCACACCCTAAACATCGTTGCTCGAAAATATCCTATATATATATAGCAAATTTCTTTTTACTCCTCGCAGAGACGAGATTTTTGTTCTTTTTGAGTATCCTACTCGGGCTACGTGATTGTTTCAAAGGAGAGGAAAAAGATAAGAACTGGGATGACAAAGAAAAGAACACACACCAGTTAAGTTAGTACTACTAAGTTCCATTAATAAACAGTATTCACCATGTTCGCTGATGCTAAAATTTAGCTTATGCTGATGCTTATGTCGAAATATTTTTTATTAAAAATACATGTATTACTGGATAAGGAAAACGTACAAAGACACGTACGAATACAGATACGTACGAGGAGGATACATGGACAGCTGTCACAACCATTTTACACAAAGGCCCCTAACAAAAGTACAAATTACATTGAGGACCCTGGACCATGTGATTCCCAAAGTCGCCCGAAGTCTCCATCGACTGTCGTCGTCGTCGAAGAAGACGCCATGACCAGGGGCGAATCTATGTGTATCCATCGGGGTCAGCTGACCCCGGTAACTTGCCAGAAATACACTTAAAGTTCTTTAATCCACCTGCAAATTACTCTTTTAAATAGAAAATCAACATGTGTTTGACCCCAATGCTTAGTCCTTGACCCCAATGACATGATATCCTGGATTCGCCCCTGGCCATGACCACCCCAGGAAGAGCCCCATTGCATAAATGCTTTGAAGCAAGCCAAAGTAGACATCCGACGCCGAGGCTGGGATGAAAACGTCGATGGAGCATCGGCGGGGGGCACTTCCGAGCTCCTCTAACCTTGGATCGATGCTCGCCGTCGACTCGCTCGCTGAAGCTTCGAGCTCGATCCACTCTCCACCAAATAAACGCCTCGCGCGCGTTGCCGCCGGTGTACCCTTGACGATGCGTGCCGCCGGCACCACCACCTTCACGAGGCGACGGAACCGCAAACCGCGTGGACTCCTGGACCCGAGCCGACGAAGCCGGACTCCACCTCCACGCACTCGTCGCCGGCACCGGAGAAGAGCGCCGCCGAGACGGGGGAGAGCACGAGAGGACCTTATTCCTAGACAACAGCGCCGCCGCCGAAAACCCTAACCTAGATCTACTAGGATTGAACCCTTCGACCGCCGAGTCCCGCGGTCTTCACCACCTCGCAAAGGCCCGAAGGCCATCGGAGGCGAGGAAGACCGCCTGCTCCCCCGGCGGAGACCGGATCGCACGGGTTCGTCTCTCTCAAGTGTAGCTAGACGAGTGTTGTAGCTAGACGAGAGGAAAGCACTGAAAAATAGCTCAAGCTAACGGGTGAATCTTCCGAGCGAAGCAAAGCACATAGCGAAAACAGTTATTTCACTTTACAGAGGAACTGAATTCCGGCGGATACCAACAGGGGCGGGGGCAAGGCAAGGAAAGGCACATTCCAATCCAACATTCTCTCGCTGCCTGCGCCTGCGCGAGCTGGCAGGCAGGTACAGGTAGACGTGCTCACGAATCCGCCGCCCGGAAGAGCGTGAGGAGGGAGAGGAAGAGGTTGATGACGTCGAGGTAGAGCGCGACGGCGGCCCAGACGTACTCGTCGTAGGAGTAGCGCTTGATGAGGTTGTCGGTGTCGTAGATGATGTATCCGCAGAAGATGAGCGCCGCCAGCCCGCCGTAGACCATGAGCGAGATGCGGCCGAGAGGAAGAAGAGCTGGATGAGCGCGAACAGCATGAGGATCATGACGGCGGCGAACAGGAACGGGCCCAGGAAGTTGAAGTCGTGGCCGCGCTTCGCCGCCCAGAAGGTGTACGCCGTGAGGCTCAGCACCACCACCGCCGTCAGGATCCCCGACTCCAGGATCACCTCCCTTTGGTGAAGGCGCAGGTGAGGCCGACGGCGAAGCTGATGGCGATCGTGAAGAGGCCCAGCAGCAGCAGGTTCACCGGGTGGTGCTGGTAGTAGTAGTACAGAGGGCACAGCACTGCACGACGTACGCACGCAACGACGAGTCAGTTCCGGTCGTTCGTTAGCGCCGCCATACATTTGCATCAATCAACAAATCGAAATCGAAGCGAATCGAGCCAGAGGTTGCGTCGCGTACCTATGAACGGGAGGATGATGAGGAAGATGTAGAGCCCGAATCCGCCGGGCGTGGAGACGAAGAAGCGCGCGACGGGGCGGACGTACACGACCACGGCGGCGACGGCGACGGTGAGCAGCATCTGGATGGACAGGATACTGTAGACCTTCCGGATGAAGGCCCACCGCAGGCGCGAGTCCTCCAGCATCAGTGGGTACAGCAGGTGCGCCGCCTGCCCCGTCTCCGCATCGCCGGCGTACCACTCCGGGCCCTTGGGCGGCGGCCGGAAGTACATCTTCTGGTTCTCCTCCTCCGCCTCCTCTGTTCCTCTGTACCGCCCTCTCCTCTCACTGCCCGTGTACGGAGGACACGCGGCCGGCGCTCGGAGCTCTCACGGGGACGGCTTTCTTTGTCCCTGTCGTCGTGCTTGTGCGCTGGTGGTTGTTGCGGTGAATGGCTCGCTGGGCGGGGAGGTCTTTAAGGAGGCGCGGAATGGGCCCAATGGTGCGGGTAGGTCTTTAAGGAGGCGCAGAATGGGCCCAATGGTGGAGAGCAGAGGATGGCGCGAGAGGGAGAGTGAAGGTTCGCGACGATGATTCCGTCCTGCGGCGGTGCGGGTGGTCCGACGTGGCGGGACTGTAGACTGACGCGTGGGGCCCCGGTGCGCGAGCCGCGTTCTAGTCACGTCTCTGTCCGTCTGGTGGCGTCTGGACTCCGGACTCCGGAGGGTGGAGAGGAGAGAACGGCAGAGATGCCACTGCCAGATGCGTTGCCTTTGCTTAGCGGCGGGGGTATCGCCGCAATGCGTTTTCTTCTGGGGTTTGCCTGCGCTTTTTCGTGTGTCCAGCCTAATTTATCGGATTTCTCTGGGCAAAGCAAAGCATGAGCAACAGTAGATGCGGCATTATCCGGTAGTGTTGTGATCGTCATTGGGCTTTGGCTCTAAGGAAAATGGTTGTGTAGTTTCATGTGGGGAGTTTTCATCTTCCCATGGCTTCACGTCATCAACCTCAATTTCCACTTTCGCAAAGGTTCAAGGCCCATATCAATCATATATCCAATAATAACTAGTTGCCGCAGTGAGTTTTTTTCATTATGTAAAAAAAAACAAGATCATGGGTGGATTACTGAACTGTTGGAGATGCTCTTATATACTCTCTCCATCCTAAAATAAGGGAAAATACTAGCATCCGGACGTCCAGATATAAACAAGTGATCCGGACACTTCTGCTCTATCCGTCCCCCGACGCCCTTTCACTTTCGGATCCAGAGGCTTTCGCTTTACCCATCCCACCTCAGCGCTTATCCCCTTCTGCCTCCCTCCTTTATCCTGTGATGCAATAGTAAACCACAGTAATGGTGGTTGCGCTTTCTATAGCGCTTGCAGACACCACATCTGCCCGTACGTGAGGGAGAGAGATGGAAAGAGGGACAAACGGATCAGATGTTAATCATTGCTTGCAGCATTCAAGAACAAAGGTTTGCAACATACTGAAACCTCATGTAACATAAAAAAATGTTGCAACATCTTAAATCGACAGTTGCAACATAAAAAAAATATTGCAACATCTTAAATCGACTGTTGCAACATTAAAAAAAACATGTTGCAACATCTCAAATCGACTGTTGCAACAACCAAAAAAGCATGTTGCAACATCTTAAATCGAATATTGCAACATCCAGAAAAACATGTTGCAACATCTTCAATCGACTGTTACAACATTCAAAAAACACATTGCAACACCGCAAAATCCATATCACATACTACAACATAACCCACCGTAGAGTGCAGATCCAGTTGCGCTTGCCTTTGAAGGAGCCCGGCCACCATGGAGGAGCTTGTTGCCAGCGAGGTCACACCTACGGCGTGTAGTTTGTCGTCGAGAGACACCCGACCATGGAAGATTTCATAGCCGATAAACATCTCACCATAGATGTGTCCACTTAGATCCACTTTGCCTCCATGGATGTAAGGTAGGAAGGTGTCACACCCGATTTCGTAGCGCCAAAATCGGGTGCACATCATATGTGTGCCAGGATCAATTTCCACACATATGACTTGACATCATCAGTGATAATCAAAACAGTGTACGAAAAAGAGTATATTATCATTATTACATGGTCATCAGAGTTTGATTAAGCGTCTTATTATAGAGAAAAGACGAAACATCAATGCCCTCCACAGGAAGGTCGACGATAGCACACGCGCCTAACACCCGGGAATATCCTCCGGATGCCCATCCCAAGCTTCATCTTCTGAGCAGCCTTTAATTTTATTTGAGGAATAGCAAGGGTGAGTACTTATCATACTCAGCAAGTACAGGTGGAAAGTAATACTAAATGCAAGTCTTAAAACAAGGACAAAGCTGACTCGGGCTTACTGCAGGTTCACATTTTTAGTTGGCAAAGTTTTATTGAAAACAACCTATATTCACTAAGTGAGTAAAGAGGTATCCCAAGCCCTTAATTAAATGAGAGTGTCATCATTAAGTTTTAAGAAACCATTCCAAAGATCTTCATCTCCATTATCATACAGCATAGCCATGCCCGAAATCTAAACCGAGGTAGCCACCTCATCAGCAAAGGACATAGTAATGCCCAGCAAATTCCTAAAAATTCCATTTATAAACATGTGAGATCTATTTCTAATAATGTGAGGGTCCAGGCCGCTCATATCCGTGAACCCGGCTGATATATCAGTTTTACACTCTGCATAGGTTGTACACTTTCACCCTAAGTCGTGATTCCCATTTGCCTGGGGCTTGCAAGACCCACAAACACTTCCAAGGTGAGCAGGTAGGGTTTCACTGTGAGACTTTTCATAGTTTCTACTAGTAGGAAGCAACCCGCTAGGTTTCAGTCTGGCGCATGGTTAGCCGTCCCCGTCGGGAGCCCAAGTAGCCACCCGTAGCATCCCTCACGAGCGAGGACTACCATACTTAGGAACCAAGAGCCCCCTTTTGGGCTACCCAGTAAGCTGCCGCGCTACTAGCAGAAAGTCTGCTAATACGTCAAGCCAGAGCCATAATAGCTTGGGGTTGTACGGTATATCCTGGGTGATCGCTCCACGAACCGGTCCTTAGGGAGGGCGGACATAAGTACCCAAAACCATAGGCACTTATTTCCCCTATGTCGCTAAGAGCCAACTTTTAAATTAACCATCCATTGCAGTGAGCCATTAGTCAGGATTACATTATCATAATATAAGTAACCTGATCCTTTGTGGGTTGCAACAGCTAAGCATATCTAAAATTACCCGTGTGAAACCCCCATGTGCAGGGAAGGACTTAAAAGACTAGTCAGAGTTCTTAGGGTTTAACAAATTAAGACACATGCATAAAAGTAAAGTGTAATTAAAGTTAAATAGGTAAACAATATGCTTCAAGGAATGTGCCTGTACTTGCATTCTCCAAATGCGGGTTGCTCGGGTTATTGCAAATCAGGTTCTCCTTCTCCCCCAAAGTGATCCCCATCTATACGCGTCAATCATCACATACAAGGCAAACATATAATTTTAATGAGAAACATTACACCATGGAACAGGTCAAGATAAGCCTACTAAACTATTCTACACGTCGAGACGAGCTCGTGGGTTCGAGAACCGCTGAAATTGGAGCTAAAACGGAGAAGTTATGGTCATTTTATGTGATAAGGGCAAACCTGTAAATAAGATGAACTAAATTCGAATTTAAAATAAATAAAAACATAAATTCATTTTGAATCCAGGACTGCGGGTTAATTTGCGAAAAGTGCAGCGGCCTTTTTGCAAAATGGCCGGGGCCTGTTGGCAAAACAGTCAGCGGTTGTTCCGTGGACCGCCGTGGACCGGCCCTGGGGCTTGGGTCCACCGTGGACCGACCCTGGGGCTCGGGTCCACCGTGGACCGACCCTGGGGCTCGGGTCCACCGTGGACCGACGGTGCGGTGGTGTGGTGGTGGCCATGGGTGACGGCGTGAAGCTCGCCGGGGAGGTGCTGGGAACCTCCCCAGCCTCGCGTCTGACACGGGGCGGGAGCGGGCGACATGGCGCGCCCGATGGGGCACTTGCCCGTGGTGGAAGGAGGCAGGGAGGCGGCAATGCACGCGGTGGAGGCGCTCGACTTCACCGGAGGAACTCTGGCGAACCTTGTCGGTGCGCAGAAAGTGAGAGAGAGAGGAAGCGGTGGGCTTCGACGGGAAGCTCACTACACGGCGAAGCTTGGCGGCCGATTCTCGGTGGCTGAGAAGTGGCGGAGGCAAAGCTTGGCGGCTGCAGGATCTTGGCGAGCGACAGAGAGCGAGAGCGAGTGCGAGTGGGAGTGAGGGCGGGCATGGCTACCTTTTATAGGCGCATAGCTGCCACCGGCGAGCGGGCTTAGAGGTGCGGGGGCGGCTGACGGCTCATGCGGCTAGCGCGGGGCGGCGACGACGCATGGCGAGGGAGCGGCGGCGGCGCGGTAATCGGCGCGTGTGGGGGGTCTGGGCGGCTGGCTGCTGCAGATGCCCAGATGGCCACGCTGGAGTGGCCGGGCGACTCTGGGCGGTGGCGACAGCATCTGTGCTGAGGAAGGGGACGACCAGGAGGGGGCGCCGACGGCGGCCCACCCGCGTGAGCGAGAGAGGGGGAGAAGGAGCGGGCCAGGGCTAGGCACGCGGGCACTCTGCTGCTGACTGTGGGCCGGCTGGTCATCCGGCCATGCCGGTGTGAGGGAAAGGGGATGAGGGCGCAGCCCACTGGGCCGAGTCGGCCAAGGGTGGCAGGCCAAGGGGCCTAGGCCAAGGCAAGGAAAGAAGAAAGGGAGAGGTGGAGAGGGAGGCCACTGGGCCGGGCCGGTGTGAGGAACGGGCCAAAAGCCGTGGAGAGGGTGGAGGAGAAAAGAAAAGGGTTTTAACATTTTCCAAAAGGAGTTTGTGAAAGGGATTTCTATCCTAATTTGGTTTAACATAGCTAAGCACTCATGAGCAAGCAATAAAATTGTGCAGCGGCATGAATGCAACAAACATTGATTCTACCTTATATTTATTTTTAGTTTATTTTTTTGTAAAATGTTTATTCATCCCTAGAAAAACAAATATGACTAACCAAAATAAATTCAAATAAATTCTAATTTTAGAATTTAAAAATTAGGGTGTTACAGAAGACGAGCGGGTGCAGCAGCGAGGGAATAATAAGGACAGGCGCGGGCGGGCGTGGCCGTGAGGGAGGAAAACAGGCAGTGAGGGAGTAAGGCGGTCAGCAGCGTCGGGGAGATGAGTGGCCACATCGGGGCGATGAGCAGCCGCGTGATCGTCAGGGAGACGAGAAACCGCGTGATGG